GCATCATGGAACCAATGGAACCCACACACGGCATCCACGTTGGGAATGTTCTGGATCGGATCATTTGGGGATCCACAATGAATTTGCGAGTGGACGTCCCAATTGGGCTGGTTCCTGAAACAGCCCCGCCTGCCGTGGATGGTCTTTTGGGCTAGGCATCCTTCATGCACGCCCTGAGCCACAATCAAAGCCTGGGTTGCAGTTTAGGTGCGAAAGGCTTCTTCCATCCTTGCGATTCTGGTGCATCAAAAGCGGTAGACCTCTGAAACACCAGGTTTGTGACAGTGACTGTGGCCAAGTGAGGTCCTCAGCCGCGTTTTCTCACGAGTTTTTGGTGCGCCGTCGCAGGCACCTGGATGTGTCGGCACCAGCTGTCCGAGCTGAAGGTGGTGTACGATAAAGAGCAGGCAGGAGCTCGGAGCCTTTCAGTTGGAGAGTTGGCCCTGGGTTTGCTGGTGCTTCCCTTGCGGTATATCCCAACTTGTTTAAAAACTAGGGGGCCCTCCGGCGGCCCTCCCACCAATTAACATGGAGGGATCCTGGAAGACCATTGGCCGTGCTTGTGTACATATACATATAATATATATATATATATGTATGTATATATATATATATGTATATGTATTTGTTCAGAGGGAAAGCCCAGCGGTTTCGAGAACCCTACCACCCGTGTCACGCTGAAAAAAAAAAAGCAGCTCCACAGCAGGAATGTCAATGCATGTCCGCTGCCGTAGCCTCCAGGCCCCACAGGTTACGGCAGAAGTCGAGCACAAAATTGGACCTTTTGCGAGTTAGCAGAACTCCTCACTAACCAGAGCACTGCACATGATACGAGATACCCTCCCACCGATTAACATGGAACCTGACAGGGGCCCGGTCCTTTTATTGTTTTCATAAGCCTCCAGAATGGTTCGACAGAAATACCCATGTGATCCTCCGGCACATCTTTCCTTACAAACATAGCAATAGAGTCCACCTCCCTTCAGGTGGTCCATGCGAAATGTGCCTGAACAAAATTTGTGCATGGCCAATTTGTTTTGATGGCCAGCCTCCTTTTCAGAATGGTTCGACAGAAAATCGCCATGTGAAACGTGTCCAAAGGGTCCATGTCCAATCATCATGGCGGCTGGGGGGGAGGGAGGGGAGGGGGGAAGGAGCCCAAATAAGCCCTTCTTAAGCCTCTAATAAGCCCTTATTTGCCGACCGACCGACCGGCCAGGCTCGCCAAGGGGCTGCCACACAGATCCAGAGTGTTTGGCGGGGTCGCCGGGGGCCCCAGTGCCCCACCCCTTCCAGAGCTTCCATTTGCTTAAGAATATGGTTTTTCGTTTTCCCTTGTTGGTTTTGAAGGGAATCGATTTCACCACTGGACATTTTTTTGAGTTTTTACCAAGGGTCTTAACCAAATGGAAGAGAGAGAATGGCTTCCGGTGGTCCCGTTTTGCACTCGCGCGGCTTTTGGAGGTCCTTGGGCCTTGGGAGGATTGGCCTTGAGAGAGGAGGGGAGGGTGCCACAAACTTCCAAGGTTTGGCTTTCGTCAGACCTGGGATTGGGTTTCCGGGAGGGAGAAGGCCACGCTGGGTTCTTCAGTCAGACTTGGGCTCCAATCTGCAAGGCCAGATTCCGGCATCATCTCTGCGACGTTGTTTGACAATTCAAGTCAAAAGGATGCAGCGTTTTCTCCTGTCTGTTTCTGGTTTCTTTCGTGGAAAGCCGGAAAAATGGACACCCCCCAATCTGTGGGCTCCCATTCCGAGAAAAAAAACAAAAAAGACGAGCCCGCACTCTCGGCCCCACAGGTGGCGGCCGCCAGCTGGTGGCGAGCCGGAGGCCGGCGCTCGTTTTCAGGGGCTTTGTGCTCGTGAGTTCGTGTGTGGTGTTTCACCATGGGCTTTTCAAAATCCAAATCGGTTAGCCCCCAGTGAACATCCGATTCAATCCAACCACTAAAATAGGTTCTAAAATGAGTGGTGCACCGAAAACCCCAAAATCGTACCATTGGTTTTGACCCACAGCCACATTGGCAAAAGGGAACCCGTTTCGGAGGGATCTGTGTTGTCGTCTAATTCTGCCCATTGTAGGTCATGAAATCGTTTTTTTTTGTTTAGGCGTAGCATCACCGTGCCCATTTGTGCTTGAAGTCAAGCCTTGGCCTGCCCTTCACGTACCTATTTGACAGTCAGTGGCATTCTCCTTTGCATGTATGTACAGCTTCACCGCTGCAACGTTTGCCATGACCCTTGTTTGTCATGATGCATTGGGTCCAATATGTTTTGATGAATTGTTTGGCACGTTTAAGTCAGGGGCTGGAGCTCTCAGAACGGGCAGTCTTTCTTTGCAAGTTCCTTTTGGCCAACAATTGCAGGTTCACCTGGGTTTATTGGGAGCCATTGAAACAAAACCAGCACGCTCGCTCTGGCGCTCTGGGCGAGAGCTCTTGCCTAGGTCGGAGCGTAGGAAGAGAATTGCGATCTTCAAGGCCAGTGCCAAGATGCAGGCAGGGCCAAGTCGATCTCGCGCGAAATACCGATCCCGGTGAGCATGCGTGAGCCTTAAAATCCCCGAAGTGACTCGAGGTTTGTGGGGGGAGAGTTTTTACTAAAAAGTATGGCGCATGGTAGCTTTGTGTAAAGGGTGTTCCGCTCATGAGCGAACACCATGCTCAAATGGTTCTGCAGTGATGTTGCTTCGGAGAACACGGTGCCCTGGAAATGCGAACTGTGCGAGGTGGTTCCCAGCCATCCCCTGAGCCTTTTAGCTTTTCAGGGTTTAGTGGGGCTTTTCATTTCACCCACCAAAAGTTCAACTCTCTTAGCCAGAAAATCTGAAATCGGACAGCCCATGTCGTGGATCGCTGCAGAGCGCCTCTTGCCGAGTCTTTTGGCTCCAGCGCGCCTCGCTCGCTTTTTTTTTTTTTCTCCCGACCCTCGCGACGGACGATGGGCGCGGTGCTGACGGCCTTTGCCTCGCCGAAGCCTCCGAAGCACTCGCCGGAGGACCAGGAGCCGGTCTTCTTCCAGATCAGGAGCGGGGCCAAAGCCTTGAAGGGCAGAAAATGAAACAACGAGTGCGGGTGCGGTCGTCGATTAGCCCGTTGCACTTCAGGACCGGAGCCAAAACCTCGAGAAAAAACAAAAAAAGAAGAAGCTTCAAAACAACAAAGAAGCAGCAAGTGAGCGTGCGGTCGTCGATCAGCCGCAAAAGCAGTTAACCCACATCCTGGCCGTATCCCAGAACGAGCAAGCCCGGGAGGGGATCCGGAAAACTTGACGGTACGTGGCGAACAGATCTAGATCCCAGCCAGCAGGTTGATTGTTTCCTTGTCTCTGGGAATCTTGAACTTAATTTTTCCATGCCTGGAGCCAAAAGCATGGATTCCGATCAAAACCCGGGATTCTGCTTGGATGTCATTGAGAGATCTAGAATTTTGGATCCAGGCCTGACTTCTGCGATGTGGGAGGTTTGGACCTAAGCTTTGCCCCGAAACTCTCCTGAGAATCTTGGATGGAATCTTCATCCAAGAGATTCGCCGCCAAATTCTGCACTTCGATTTTAAAGAGACGTCGTTCTACGTGCCTCAGCCAAATCCCACAGTCGCATCAACGGCTTGTGCAAATGAAGCACACTCACACAAAAACGAGCCCACCATGTGGCTTTGGGTCAAAACCAATGGTACCATTTTGGGGTTTTCGGTGCACCACCCATTTTCGTCTATGGTGGGCATAAGGATGTTCCCTGGGGGTACGATGTGGCTTTTGACCCATGGCCATGTTGGTTACCGTGAAACCGCATCCTAAGGGGCCAAAAGTTCGGCTCCAATCGCCAGGAAGCTGGCGGGGGACTGCATCGAGGTGCAGGGCTGCAAAGGCGGCGTGTAGCCTCACACCAACCAACATGGAAGTGCAAAAAGGGGTCTGGCGGTAGGAGGAGTGCATGGATGGTGCATGGATGGTCTTACCTAACCTGGAAGTGGACCATCCAAGAGGAAAGTAGTTTTTCTACAGTCCGAAGGCACTTCCATGGAATCGCTTGTGGGAGGGTATGGAGTTCAAACCAGAAGGTAGGATGTGAAAGTGAGGAATGAAGGAAGCGCTCTCACAGCTCGCTTTCCTTCTCGCAAATCCCCTTCCTTCTCCATCTCTATCTCTCTCTATTCCTCACACCTAAGAAAGGGTGAAAGGGCACGGAGAAGGCCGAGCGGCGCCATGTTTGGAGTCAAGCTTTCGCTTCAGCTCGTTGCGTTCGTCCCTTCCCCCTAGTAAAAAAGGACGGCCCTGATAGCTTCCCAAACCCACATCTCCAAGTACTAAATGAGAATTAGCCATCAGTATTGGCCAACTCTTTCCCAGCAAATTTATCGCCGATCCCACTCCAGTCGTAGTCGGGGACACTTTAGAAGCAATACTAAACCGCTACTATACCAGGCCCCTAAACTAATACGAAACAGTACCAACCAAAGACTAGGCAGACACTAAACCAATCTTAAACCAATTCAAAACCAGCACAAATCCGAAAATCACACTGACCTACTCTCTTTCACTTCCCTGCTCGGAAACTGCCATTCTGAGCAGGTCTTGCCCCCAAAGTTTGACGAGCGGAACCCCGGGTCATGGCCCCTGGTACCCGAAGCTGGCGCATGAACATATTGTCCAAACCTTCAAGGGAATCATCATGCCCAATTTCTGACTTAGGGGTACATTACAAATAGGAAGAGATTCCTCGCCCAATTCCAGAAGTTGGAAGGTTGGATATTGGCAGCGGCAAGAAACGTGGATGTTCCAAGACAGGAATGGGACGGAGGGCATTGGCAAACGGCGCAGAAAGGGGTTTGGCAAATCCTGTGTTTGGCAAGCTGCGTGTTCGACCCCAGTCAGAAACCAAGTTCAAGCCTGCATTCACCTTTTTGGGCCATGCACGTATCAAGCAACATGCTCCTGCATGCCTGGCTTCCTTGCGTGAGCATAGACGACCCTCAAACAATATCCACCTTCAGTTTTCT